ACAGGATCTCCCTGTAGCCCCAGCTGACCTGGAACTCACTATGTAGGCCAAGCTGGCCTTGACCTCACAGAGATGCGCCTGCCTCTGCCTCAGGAGTACTGGGACTAAAGGTGTTTACCACCACGCCCAGCTCTGACTGGTTCTTAAAAGACCGAGTTATACGAAAAGTGCAAGAACAGGGTGTAAGGTATGACTTGTGGTAGAGGGCATGCTTAGCATTTGTAAGGTCCTGAGTTTAATCCTCAGCATCAAAACAAACAAAAGAGCAAGAATGGTTCCACCCCATTATCTGGCTTTCTATCTCACCCTGAGATTTCCTTCTCATAAGTGCTCCTGAGAGAAGTATATCCTGCCATACTGTGATATGGTTGCGAGGGTCCTCACTGGAGGCCAAACATGTAAGGTCACCCAATTTTGGACTTTCAGTCTCCAAAATTATGGCTAAATAGAACTCCTTTCTTTATAAAGTCCCCAACATCAAGTATTTTGTTGCAGCAATGGAAGGTAGACTAATATGTTCTGATTCCACTTGATATTCCCAATGCCATTCTTGGGTTAGAAATGACATCTTAGAATAACTCATAACTTGTCACCTGGATGGAGCTCCCAGGCTGCTGGTTCTCCACATGCCACATGCTGGTACCCTGACAGAGGCAAGCAAGTAGCCATGGTCCCCTTCATGGAGGTAGGGAGTGCACTCAAGTCATCTGTTCTGACAGCTCTGCCCAGACTTCAATGGCAGACTCTGTCTGTCAAGTCCTGAGTGATTGAACACTAGTGAATCCTGCCTGACCCAGCTGCTCTGAGCTGAAGCAATTCTATTTGTCCATCAACTACAAGCCCTGGAGGCTGCCTGAGCATGTGGGGTCAGCAGCACTGAAGTATGTGGCACCCTGCCAAATAGCAGCTTTGCTCTCTGATGGCCACTCATCGGGACACGTGGCAGGGCTGCCATCTGGCAGGACTAGAGAAAGACAGGTTAGAAAGAGGAGTTAGAGAAATAAAAGCAAATTACCTTGTTGAAACCTTTGGTGACCAAATTGATGGCAAGCTCATGGCTGATCCCATCTACCCAGTCCACATCCTTCTCTCTAATGGGTTCAGAGAGAAAGGCTCTCAGCCTGGGAGACATGTGATCCATCTCCTGCAACAGACACAGGGAGGAGTAAGGGTAAGGAGATACCTGACTGCTTATAGCATGGGGAACACTGGGGAGGGCAACAGATGGCAGACTTGTGTCTACTGTCCAACATCTACTGGGGAGTTTTAAGTGCCAGGTGTGCTGCCCTGTGCTGGAGGTCTTTATACTTCATTCTCACCTGGATGAGCAAAGACAAGTGTGCTGTTGACTATGGATGAGATCCAAGCCCACCATGGGTACACTAATGCTAAGAACTAAGAACTATGAGCTCTTTTCCAATTTTTTTTCACCCTACGCAGTGAAGAAAACAGCGGCTGGGCTGGTGAAATGGCTCAGTCAGTAAAGATGGCTTTCCTGAAGCCTGATGACCTGAACTCAATCCCGTATGTGATGATAGTTTTAAGTGTCAACTTGCTGCAACTTAGAATCACTTGGAAAAAGATCCTAAATGAGAGATTTCTTAGACCAGGTAGGCCTGTGGGCATGTCTGTGGAGGATTGTCTTGGTTGTCCATTGATGTAGGAGGATGCAGCCCATTGTGGGCAGTGTAATTCCCTAGGCAGAGAGTCTTGAGCTATGTAAGACAGGAGAAGGCTAGAAGAGAACAAGCTGGTGGCATGGGTGCATTTGTTTCTCTCTGCTCTTGACTGTGGTTTGACTGGCTGCTTGAGTTCCCTTCCCACCTTGACTTCCCCTCAAGGATGGACTGCAACCTGGGTATATAAGATGAAATAAACCTTTTCCTCCCTTATGCTACAAATGTATTTTTGTCAGTGTATTTTGACACAGTAACAGAAATGAAACTAGGACTCCATGTAGAGGTAGGAGAGAACTGACTCCACAAAGCTGTCCTCTGACTTCCATATGCAAATTGTGGTACCTCCCATAATAATGAATAAAAATAAAATTTAAAAGCAAAGGTCATTTGAAACCCACTATGTTTAATAAATGAGCTGTTTTCCTTAGCTAATTAACCTATCTTCTCTCTTAGCAACCTGATACCTTTGTCATCCTTTTATGTTAGCATGTATCAAACTCTGTAATGGTTGCAGATATAAAAGATCATATAGCTCCAAAGTCCAGGCTGAGGCTGGACATGATACAGTCAAGGCAGCCCCACTTCTCCATCATGACTGCCAGCAGCTGTCAACATCCTAAACATTTACTGTAAGATGTCCACACAGGGGCTTGGAGTGGGGCTCAGTGGTATAAAGCACTTGCCTAATGTTCACAAGGCCCTGGGATAGATCCCCAGAAGTAAAAAACACAACACAAAAACCAACAACAAACAAACCAAAAAACTCCACATGGCCTGGACTCTGTCATGACTTGAGTCTGAAATGTCCCACATAAGCTCCTGTCGAACACTTGGTCCCCAGCTTGCACACTCTTTGAAGGCTAGGGAGCCTTTAGGATGTAGAGCTTAAAGGAAGGAAATAGTCACAGGGGAGGGCCTTTGCGGTTATACTCACCACTGGTTCTGGCCTGTGTTTGCTGCCTCCTGGTCTACCACCATGTGAGGACTCTATCTCTGCTGCATGTTCCCACTGCCATGAACTGAACTTCCCCTGCCATGATGGACTGATATCCTTCTGAAACTGTGAGCCAAGATGAACCTTTCCTCCTCTTAGTTGCTTTTGCAAATATTCTGTCATACACTCAGGAAGACAAAGCAGTGGTACATGCCCCTGCTTGCTTCTCGTACAGTCTTGTTCTACCCAGGCCCTCAGTCTATTGGATGGTGCCACTCACATTCAGGATAGGCCTTCCATCAGTCTTACATGCCAATCTTCTCTGGAAACATCCCCACAAATATACTCAGGGGTTGGTCTCGCCAGTCCTAGACATCTCAAATTGACAACCTTTACAACTAGTAGAGTGCTTTCCTAGCATTCATTCATGAGGCTCTGGACAAAAACCCCAACACTGGTGCATGGGGAGGATGAACTGCCTGGTGGCACAGGCTCCATCAGCACAAGGGCTACTTCTAGCACAACTGCCGTTTTGCTGAACGAGGATACCATCTTCTTTGCTGCTCTCTCCAGAACATCTCTTCTCAACCAGTCCCACATTCAAGTCTTGTTCACTGAGGCATTCTCTTCCTGGTATCCAATTTTGCTTCAGTTTGTAACTCGAGGAACAGAAAATCCAGTTTAAAGTGACTTACACAGGGAAATTTTAAATTAGTACATACTACCAAAAATTCTGTTACGAGATCAGGTGTGGTTTGATCAAGACAACTCTCTTGCCTCAGTCTTCCTTTGTTGATCTGCTCAATCCTTAGCTTAAGTCCTTCATAAAAATAAGCAGGTTGCAGGAGGGCGGCCATTGCTCTTGTGAGACACTTTGTTTTCCAAAGGAAAGCACAGAGTTCTCTTTCCCTTCAGTCTATATTGCCGTATACTAGGCCTTAACAACAGAAATTCTAGTCTGATCTGCATGTCCTACCTCTGGACTTAGAAGGCTCATGGGCTGCCAGGGTTGGGAGGCTGGGTCACAAATTGGATAGTTAACATGTTTTTAGGGACAGTTGTCCAGTACCATAACAGGGAGAGGCGTGAAGGGCAAGAATATCTATCTCAGCAGAGCTTGAGGCCCCGAGGGCTGAAGTTGCTTCCTCATGGCCTTTACTTCCTACTTCAGCCCATCCCTAGGGCTTAGTACCATGCCTGGCACATGGCAGACACTTAACAATGTAAATATGTGATCAGATGGATCCGTGCCTATCCCCTCTCCCGTTCCCCACCCTTTCAACCTTCCTCCAGACCTTTCTTCGAAGCAGATCTCCTTTTGAAAGCTTTCTTGGCCACTGTTTCATTTTGGAACACTTTTAATGAAACTAAACTCTTCGAGAAAAGAAGGATCCAAAAGGCTCTGACTTCAGCTGTCCGGCTCCTAAGGAGAGTGGACTTGTGTGTCAGGAGATCCTAGGAAGGAGAGGAGATAGGAGACGTTGTGTGGGATCCTCTGACACTGTGTTCCTCCAATCCTCAGATGCCTGAGCTAGGACTATTATACGACTGGACATGGTGGCAACACACCTCTATTCCAAGAGGCAGGTGAATGTGAGACTGAGATCAGCCTGGTGTACACAGCCAGTCCAGACCAGCTGGGGCTACAGGGAGACCCTGTCTCAAGAACAACAGCAACAACAACAAAAACAAACAAAAACAAAAACAAAAAATAACTTATATAGAGGACTTTGATCATTTTCATCTGTGGAAATGTGTTTCCTAAACACAAAACACTGCTTAATGCCAGCGTTAAAAGGTGAACTCCTCAGTATCCCCATGGTCCTAGGGGATCTAGGAGATGACAGTTGGGATTGGTAGCCTGCTTGGTCCCAGACCAGGAAGAGAGCTCGGGATTTTGGAATAGCTTAGAAGTCCCATGGGCCATACCAATTTTGCTGAGGGAAAATTCCACCCATTATCCACTTTGGCCACCTGTTAGGTTAAACTTCTGCCCACTACACCTAAGAACAAATGGAAACTATAACAATGCTATCAGCACACCAACCCCTTCAAAGACCAGAATGATTAGAGACACCATATGTTTGCTTTTCCCACACTCTGAACTCACTTGGCTCCTTCAAATACTTCCAAACACCTCTGAGGGAGATGGCAGGAGTTTGTCCCTTCTAAGGCCCTGCACCAGCAGGGATCACAATGAAAGGTCTTGGCATTCTTATTTTTATTTATTTTTTGTCTTTTTGAGACAGGGTCCCCCTGTAGCCCCAGCTGTCATGGAACTCACTATGTAGACCAGGCTGGCCTCGAACTCACAGAGATCCACCTGCCTCTGCCTCCCAAGTGCTGGGATTAAAGGCATGAGCTACCATGCCTGGCATTCTTTTTATTTTTAAAGACAAGACAGGGTCTCACTAAATAGCACTTGCTGGCTACGAACTTGCTGTGTAGACTAGGCTGGTTTTGAACTCTGCCTCCCAAGTGCTGCGATTAAAGGCATACATGACTATGCCCAGCTTTTGTGTTCTTTAGAATGACCATAGTGGCAAATGTGGGTCTCAACTAGGGGTGCTTTGGCTCCCAGGAAAATTTCTTGGTTGTCACAATGGGAGGCAGACAGGTGGGGTGGTACTACTGACATTACTGGGTATGTCCACAGGTACTGGTAAACTTGTCAGTATAGTCTCCACCATCTGGAATTATTTCGAATGCTGGGGAAAGCAGGAGTAGAAGAGCCGGTGATGGAAGGAGGTGGGCATGGGTATAGGTAGAAGGAGGGGTTCAGCTTTGAGGAGGTACTGAGTGAAAGCAGGAGCTAGCTGTCTAGGAGATGTCAGCAGTGAGGAGATTCCAAGAGACTCAAGCAGGGGCCAAGGGCAGGGGGTCAGGGGGGAGGGTCCTTCCGTTGTTAGGGTGTTCAATGAATACCCTTATGGGCATTCTTGCATAAGCACCAGACAGGGCCTTTAGGAGAGAGATCTCAGATTCGGGTGCCGTTCTATAAGTGAAAATGCAGACAGACAGCTAGCTGTTACTGCTTTTGACAAGTACAGGAACCTTGTATTATACGATGCAGATGAGAGACTAAAAGAAAGCCACGGTAACAACCGGGTGGGGTCATGCTAAAAAGAGATACTGTTCTGCTACGAGGTAACTGCTAGACCAGATCAAGGAATCCCGAAGCTGTGGAAGAGGCCATCCGGTTGTTTTTCTGAAGTGTCTTCTGTTGGAAGAACAGTTCTGGAACATTTATACATGTTGTCTCCATGGCCCTTATGTTATTACAAGGTAACAATAAGTGCTGTGACATTGTTTTGTTGATAATAATTTTAAAAAGAATGGTTTGGCCCTAAACCCTTACAGTTGTTGGGAATGTAAACCAATATAGTCACTATGGAATCAGTAAGTAGGTTCCTAAAAAAGACTAAAACCAGAACTACCATACAGCCCAGCTGTACCACACCTTGATATATGCCTGAAGGAATAGGACACCACAGAGATATCTGCACATCCATGTTCACGCTGGCACTGTT